ATTTATTTTGAGAGAAAGAGAGAGAGAGCATGAGTGAGGGAGGGCAGACAGAGAGGGATGGAGAGAATCCCAGGCGGGCTCTGGGCTGTCAGCACAGAGCTGCATTTGGGGCTTGAACGCAAGTACTTTGAGATCACGACCTGAATGGAAATCAAGAGTCAGATGCTTAAGTGACTGAGCTACCCAGGTGCCTCTGAACACTTAGAGCATCTTAATAAAGTCCATGCAGGATGTAGGACAAAAAAAAAATCATTAAATACAAGACATGTTCTGTAGACACAGCATGCCTAGAATTCCTCACTCTGGTATGATTATTACTACTCAGAGTTCTATGGCATTTACCTATCCATACAATATCTTTGGCTTTTGTACTCCTATATCAATTATGTCCATTGACTTCCACAATCAGTTATTGTAATTTAATTAGGAATTAACTATCAACTGCAATTATCAGCTGTTCCTTGGTCTTCTATTTTTTTTTAAAGTTTTATTTATTTATTTTGAGACAGAAAGAGACAGCATGAGTGGGGGAGGGGTAAAGAGCGAGGGAGAGAGAGAGTCCCAAGCAGTCGCCACACCGCCAGCACAGAGCGCGACGTGGGGCTTGAACTCATAAAACCGTGAGATCATGACCTAAGCTGAAACCGAGGGTCAGACGCTTAACTGAGTCCCCTGGGCATCCCAGTCTTCTATTTTTTATACACCAGCAAATGCCAACAGAAAAATAAAAATTCCTGTTCCCAAATTTTGGCCATCTAAATGTTCACAAATTACTAATTTGAATCAATTATTTTTTTTTAATTTTTTTTCAACTTTTTAATTTATTTTTGGGACAGAGAGAGACAAAGCATGCAGGGGAGGTGGGGGGTCAGAGAGAGAGGGCACACAGAATCGAAACAGGCTCCAGGCTCCAGCAGCCATCGTGCCCAGAGCCTGACGTGGGGGCTCAACTCATGACTCATGACGAGATCGCACCTGGCTGAAGTCGACGCTAACCTATCGCATCATAGCCACCCAGGTTTCCTATCAATCAATTATTAAAAAAATTTTTTTTAATGTTTATTTTTGAGAGAGAGAAACAGAGACAGAGCGTGAGCAGGGGAGGGGGCAGAGAGAGAGGAGACAGAGAACCTGAAAGAGGCTCCAGGCTCCAAGATGTCAGCATGGAGCCGTACACAGGGTTTGAACTCACGAACTGTGAGATCATGACATGAGCCGAAGTCAGATGCTCAACTGACTGAGCCACCCAGATGCCTCCCGAATCAATTCTTTTTAACCCACAGAATAAGTTGACTTGATAGAGTAGATAGCAAAGATGAAAAACAGACAGTGAAGCACACATTAAGTGGAAAGCAAACTGAGCTCAGCAGAACTGACAGAGGAGGAAGATGAAGTCAAGTGGCTAACACCTCATTTCCGCCTTCTGTTTCTTCTTCAGTAAGTATTTAGTGGAAAGCTTCAGGAAAGAGTTGGACTTCATTCATCAGTGTCTCTTAAAGGCTAGGAAAATCACTGCCCACAGGCCCAAGTTGGGGTGGGCAACGGATTCTGATTCAAGATAAACTGAAGTTCACAGAGCGTTAAATGCAAATAATCAAGGAGGAGTGTGAGATGTCAAACTTTAGTCTTTCAAGTGTGTCTTCCAGGAGGAAGAAAATGAAGTGCATCTGGACTGTATCCAGAGTCAAATGCTGCAATTCAAGTGCGCACCACAGAACATGGAAATCGAGACTCGAAATGCTAGCATTTCATTTTAAAAAACACCATCCCAGAAAACTTTGATAAAATAACCTGCATTCAAAATACATGTTTCAAATATTTAACAGGCAAAGAAAAAAGTCTGACAAGAGTGAAAACCAAGACTGTCAACCACACGGTCAAATGTCAACACTTTGACCACAGTGACAAACCCAAGCCTGAGGATGATGACCTGTGACTGAACTACCAAAGCAAAGACCTAGGGTCTTCTATGTTTTTTGTCTCTCTTTCCTTCTTTCTCCAGATGACATAAGTTCAAAGGATCCAGGCAAGGACAAAAGAATAATACAGGAGAAGTGTCACCTTTTTAATATTTCTTAATTTGCATTTAATGGCATCAAAATCACCATCAATTAAAATTGAAAATTTAATTTAAAGAAAAAGCAAATGAATCATCGTTTAATTTCATCTCAATACCTGATCCCCTTATTCATGGCATTTTTCACTTTTAGCCAGTTATTTTAGATTTCTGGAGTCTCATCTGGTGCTGTGATTTCCCCCTGAATGGGAAAGCAAACCAACGTGTGTCTCTACCCCGTCTCCAAAAGTGGCTTCTGAGGAAGGTCAGTGAGTGAATCTTGGCTCTGCTGTCTGGGACCATTGGCTACCAGGTACCAAGCAAGTACAATATATTTTCTTACTGAAATGAATCAGATTACACTGATTTGCCGCTATTGACTTTGTGGTTTTTTCAAAAGGAACGTGACAGTTTGGAATGGTCTCACCGAGAAGGCCTGATGCATTGGACGTTCCAAAGCGCAGAAGGCTTTTTGGGTCAAAAACGTTGCATTAGCTCGATTTCTTCTCAGTTGGGTGTTGAGCATGAATCTGTTTCAGTCAAAAGACCGTCCAGATATAATCAAATAAGTTTGCCACCTACATCTTTGGTTAGTTTGTTAACACCAGAGTGCTGTGCACCAAGTAATAATAAGTAAGTGTGCTTGGGAAATGCTAAGTTTCAACCAGATATAAGTATAGAACTATTTACAGAATATCGTATTACTATATGATTTATCGACTTGAACCAGTATTGGCTTTGGGGATGCTGCTTCAGGTAGTGCAAAAGATCAGATGACCAAGTCTTCCAGATTTGGCTGAAATAGATAAGCTCAATGGACACACAAAAGATTTCTCCATCTCATGCTCCATCAATATACCAAATACTATGCAAGTATGCAGGATTCCTCATCTTAATCACATTTAAATTGGCACTGATGTAAATACCATGAAGAGAATTTAATAGTGCAATAGAAAACCTGTAAACATGCCTGTGGCATTATTTTCCTGTCGATTACACCACAATATACAATAAAAAAAAAAAACCATAAAATAACTAAAAGGGCTAATGTCTGTATATGCAATTTCGTTAAGAGAACAAAGATCTAAAACAATCTGCCATTAAATTATCAACAGAAAGAGAAAAAACAATTCCTGAATAATAAAAGAAAAGCCTCTTATACATTGAGATTGTTCTTTAAACCCCCTCTATCACTAACTTTACCCCCGTTATTCTTACATCTGCATTAAGTGTTCAGCCCCCAGTCAGATGTGTGAGCCACATCTTCTCTTACGTGGAAGGACATTTGAAAATGTGGTAGCCTGAAGATAGGGCCGGATTTGCTGTAATCCGTGTCGTCATTTCCCCGATAACCCGAATCCAGATTGCCTTCCCTTTTTCTTCTGAGCCCCAGTGCCCCCATCTTTATAGAATAAAACATCTATGAGCATATTTGTTGAGGACTGGCTCTCTTCATTGCAAACATCTTTCATTGATCGTTCCACAGTTATGCTTGAAAAGCCAGGATGTGCGTGCGTGCGTGTGTCCGTGTGTGTACATATACGTGGGCTCGTGTGTATGTCTACACAGTGCCTCCCCACTTACAGTCACATTCTTCTTGAGTGAATACACAAATTGACCCCAGTTTGAGTGAAATGAGAATTCACCTGTGGCACATTTAGCTAGTCCCGGCCCCACGTATATTCTTTGCCCCAAAGAAATGTGGTTCCTGGCCCCTAGATTCTGCCAAGAGCAAAATGTTACCCCTGTAAGACTCAGTTGCATGAGATTTATTTAAATGCTGGGGGCATTCTTTACACGTTATAAGATTACCAAAGTTCATGCCCCAAGGAGTCATCTGTATACGAATTCATTATCCTCACCCCTTGTGTTCTTCATGGCCCCATCCAACCCTGTGGACTTCAACATCTGAGCAAGTTTCCGATTGTAATGTGGCTTCATTTTCTTTTGTGCTGACTAGGGTCAACAGGCATGTGCTTTAGCATGACAGCCGTTCCTCTCAAGTAATTTTTTCAATCTTGGAATATCAGTGGCACTTCCTTTGCAGATGAGGAAGGAGACGGCTGACAAAAATATTGGCCCATGATAACAAGCTGAAGAAAGAAGGACAGGTCCGGGGGCCAAATGGGTTTGGGACCCATGGGGTCCCGTGGCTTCAGAAAGTTCCCTTGAAAACTTTCAGAGTGGACATTTTTCAGACTTTCGTTTGTATACAAATCACTTGGAGGTCTTGTTAAGGGACAGCCTTTGATTCTCTAAGTCCAGATGGGGCCTGAGAGCCTATGTTGCTAATAAGCTCCCAGATGGTGCTGATGTTGCTGGTGTTGAATAGAAAATAGCAGTACATTCCGACCAAAAAATTAATAGCATCAAGTCCATTTGTGTATGTTTTCTCAACTGTTTACCCCTGGTTTGATCAATTTCACTCCTACAATTCAATCCAACGAAGCAAGGCATAAACGGAACTATGATTTTTGTGAGCACAGAGTCCCTTACCCCTTTTTATGTATTATCAGTAGCTTCCATTGTATATATAGCATTTTCTCTCCTTGAAAAGAAGAGGGTGCTTTAAAGCAATGGTATAAAGGAATACTGAACCACGTTTCAACTCTCGGCCATAACGTCTTTGATAATTGTTTTGAATAAATACCTTATATGATGGCTGATATCCTGTATAGAAATGCACTTCCTTTCAATACCAGCATTGCTAACTGTCTGTCCACCCGGCAGGACATTATTTCAATTGCCCTACACCAAGTTTGTGGAAATGTAGCCCCATTTTAGGAAATACGAATTTTGAGAGTTCGCTGCAGACAAAGCATTGGAAAAGGAACTCCTCAAACGTGGCGATGATTGCTTAGGCACTAGATCCAAGGGGCGGGGGGTGATTTTGTATGTGTGTGCAGCTTTTTAGGGTGAATCCACACCTTCACGTTTTCCCGGTGACCTCTGCATTCTAAGGGAGCTCGGACGCGGAAAGGGCTCCCAGGGTTCAACCCGGGGCGTTCACTGACATCAGACGTTGCTCTGTTGTAACAAAAGAGTTCTCAGCTCCCTTTCCCTCTGCTCCTCCTGCCTGTACTTCTCCTCAAGTTTCTGCTTCTCAGAATCCGCACAGTAAAAGGTGCAATCTGGGCTCTTTCGGATCTGTTCGAACTGACTGAAATCAGCCACGTACTTTCCGTTCTTGGAGAGAGAAACTACAGGCACAAATTCAAAGCCCCAGTAGATCTCCTCTGGGATATAAGACGTGCGGCTCTGGCAGACCGCGCTGGTGGATTCCACGGTGGCATTGAGGAGGACGACGAGCTCAAACTCCTTTTCCTTCAGGTTTTGGGGCGTGAGGTCTCTCAGGGGGCTCGTCTCATCCAGCACGTGGTAGAATGTCATGGGCAAAATGAGGAAGGGGCTCTCCGAAGAGGAGTCCACGTGGAATTTGACGGTGGCTTGGTTGAGCAGGATCCGCTCCCCCTCCTTGGTGACATGGGTCTGCAGGAGCTTGCCAGAGAGCTGGCATTGGATCAGGAGGCTCTTCCTCATGTTGGCCACCTGGATCACCAAACACAGCTTCCCGTTCTGCTTGGTGATGACCGCGCAGTGGCTGAACTTGATGGTCTCCGCCCGCTTTTTGGGTCTGGCAATCTTGGCCAGGAAGGTGCCTGTGATGAAGATCTCAATCAAGGTTGTGATGACCAGCTGAGCGACCAACAGGAAAATGGCATGAGGGCATTCCTCCGTGATGGAACGGACTCCGTAGCCAATGGTCGTCTGGGATTCCAGGGAAAAGAGAAACGCCCCAGTGAGAGAGTCCACCTTCATGATGCAGGGGGTGTGATTTGAAACGTCCTCGCTCGGTTCTAAGTCCCCATGAATGAACGCGATGGCGTAGTAGATCACTCCAAAAAGGAACCACGTCATCACGAACGTGGCGGCAAACAGGGTGAGCTTGTATCTCCACTTCATGTCGATGACGGTGGTCCACAAGTCTTGAAGGTACAGTAAGTATATGCCATCCACTTTGTCAATTCGCACATTGCTGTGCCCACTCTTGGACATGACTCGGGGCCTGTTGGTCTTGGGTCCACCTCCTGAAGGCTGCCTCACGAGGGGAGCGCTGGACATGCTGAGGTGAACGGCGTCCATTGTCAGGCTCTTGGGGCCACCTAAGGAGATGACGAAGAAAGGCGTTCCATTACTGTCACGGGTGGTAGGACACCCAGAAAACAGACACAGGATAATCAGGTGAGATATGTAGGAATATATACGGACGTATATAAGAGAGGAGAATTTGGAAGGCAAGACTAGTCTGCTAGTTCTGGAGGAAGGCAGTAGGGTGGGGTGAGGGGCATGGAGATATCTGGAGATAAGCAAACCTGGGCTAAATGCTGACTCTCCAATTTATTTGCTGTGTGACCTGGGACAAGCTATGCAGTCTCTCTGGATCTCAGCTCCCTAATCTGTAAAATGGGAACACAACCTACTCCTCAGAGTTTGTGTGATGGTTAAATGAGATAGTGACCAGAAAGTTTGCCAAAACGAAGCCTCACCCTCAAAAACGACACTGAGCTTCTCGTTGTGAAATGACACACACGTGTGTCTACCCCACAGAGTATGACGAATGTTTGCGTATACTCAGCTACCACAGATCTCCGATTCTGGAAAATTTAAACATAAGTTGACTGAGCATAGGGTCAGTACTGATATAACTAAAACATACCATCTATAAGATAGTGTCGATGCAGCAATGGAGAATATTACTCCATATTTTTAAAACTTGGGTAATATCAATAAACTTTTTAAAAACTTACCCTTTCGTGTGGCATTCTCTGCAACAGAAATTCACTCCCCCCACCCCACCCAGTGAATAATCTATGACCTATCACCTCTCCTACTTCTTTTTTTCTTTTTAATTTTTTTTAACGTTTATTTATTTTTGAGACAGAGAGAGAGAGACAGAGCATGAACGGGGGAGGGGCAGAGAGAGAGGGAGACACAGAATCGGAAGCAGGCTCCAGGCTCTGGGCCATGAGCCCAGAGCCCGACGCGGGGCTCCAACTCACGGACCGTGAGATCGTGACCTGGCTGAAGTCAGACGCTCAACCGACTGAGCCACCCAGGCGCCCCTCACCTCTCCTACTTCTTGATTACATGGGAAAGCATTAAGTTATCAAACAACCAACACCCACCACATAATGAATAATTACACTTTCTTAATAGCTCGGTCGATACGCTGGTTATTCTTGGGAAAATGCTATAAAATCCCACGTTACATATGACATTTAGGTATGGCCCAAAATTTCTGCATTACTCCTTTAGAACCAACTAGAACCATCATGGGAACCTCTTTTCAAAAGTTAAACAAGTAAGCAAGGACAGGCATCCGACGCTGTGTCAGAACAGTCCCACCTAGAAGACACGTCAGGCTCCCGCGCTAAGTCCCAGGGAGCGCTCCCCTCTGCATCAACAGACAGGAACAGACCGGGTGTGAGGCCACACGGCATCTTATACTACCTGCCTGGTGACGCGAATAAATCACCCCTACCTTCCTTGAAAAAGATGTGACGGAGTACGGGAGAACACCACCTGGTCGGCACGGGTTTTTCCCACCTCACTGGTATTTGGAGGATAAAGGAACCCTCCCCCTGTCTAAAAAGGAACTGAATACAGTGGTCTGTGATTCACGCAGGAATCTTTGCTGTTAGAGCAGCACTGTCTCCATAGAAGTTTTGGAAGCAATCTTCTGGGCAAACCCCTTCAAGGAAAGTGAAACCATCCATTAGCAGCTAACACTTGTTGGGGATTCAGTAAGTGGTTGCACTTTTTAATTTTCCTGTTTCATGAAGAGCGTGTCACTTCCAGAGCGGCCCTCGAAATGCTTTTTTTTTTCTCCCCCCTTGGGAAGGAAAGCTACTTTTTCATTTTCACTGCAGAGAAGGGCCCTAAGCTATTCAGAATGTCTTGTTCTTGCTGCAGCCTCTTCCTCGTATTTGGAGATCGATTTAGAAGGAAAACACAGGATGAGCTTCAGCTTTATCAGCCCCTCAGCGGCATTTCTCAGTCAACTAAGAGGAAAGTGGCCCCAACGAAAGTTTGGAAACAAAACGCCATGCTGCCATGCCGGAAGGCATAGCCACGCTCAAAACATGAGCACCAGTAAGACAAATGCAGCATTGGGGCGCCTGGGTGGCGCAGTCGGTTAAGCGT